TCTGGATTCTGTGCAGTTGATCCAGCAGTAACGGCAGCACCGCCGGAACAGCTGTCGTGACGCCATTCAGGGTGAAGAAGCCGCCCCCGACACAACGACTCCCGTATCCATAACAACAGTTTCTTCATTGCTGGCGATGACGATGATTGGAGGTTCGGGTGACGTTCTTGAGGATGCTGAGGAGGACGCCCGTGTTGGAGTGACAGGAGGAAGCGTGGGTGGTAGGGAGTAAGAGGCGCTCGACTGGGAGGCAGAGTAAGGGACCAAAGAGCTGGAAGGCGATAGGGAAGACCGCAGTGGTTGCGAGGACCACTGCGTAAGCAGAGGTCTGATTACGCCAGCTCCTGGCCCCAAACATCGAAGTGGGCACTTCCTGGCAGCAGCATAATGCAATGGAAGTACTTAAATGCGTGCAGATCGTTGCACCCAGGTTGTCAGCACGCTTCTACAGCCATGACTTTATGGACAAAATTGTCCTAACGTTGCCCTGAGGTAATACCGTGACGGTGTGTTAATTTTTGGGATACCAGTCACCAAGTCATTGATTGCATGAAAGACGAACTTGTCTGTGAGCTTGCCCAGTGAGATCACCGGACGTTAAATGCACCGCCTCTCATTAAACCTGAAAGCCTTCGAGTCTCACGATACTAAAGCAATCACAATTGTAATAGCCCAAGAGAATACGCGGATCTGTCCACGGATCTGTCCACATCGAGGTACGGTTTTCATCAGAGAGCAATCCACGGATTGCTTCTTATTGGAACAGCCTTGACCTGAGATTGAAGAGCAGTGTTCTAACTAACTTGAGGTAAAACAGTCGAAGGAACGCTCCGATGCGAAGACTCAGCCGGTCTTGTGAACTCGAGGGGATCCTCGCAACCAACTTGGCTCACTCGGGGGGGTGGCAAGTCTAAGCCTATTTTGATTAGGTCAGGAGCAGTCCGAAAGCATATAAGTACAGTCCAAGCACTTTCTCGGTACACATGGCTCTGGCACTTACAGATTTCTGCGAGCATCCCCCAAGGTAGGACATAAGGCAATGAGGACAGATTCTTGTTACATCTTTTGGAATAGTTCGACGGAGCGTTTTCTTCCTCTTCTGCTGACGTGGATTATCAAGTGATATTTTGCCCACATGAAGGCTCAGCTGGTATGTGGCGCGAGGCTTATTGGAAAAGCACCATGTAACAAAGTGAACGGTTTTGAAATAGCAGACGCTGCGGTATGAAGAGAGGTAACCATTCCTTTGTGCTCCGTAACATGGGCATGTTTTTTTTTTCTTTTTTGTTGTGTTTTTCTACTTCAATCGTTGTTGGCTTATTGACTTTCAACTTAGCTTGTCGGAATCAAGCTACCGACCGGGCAAATTTGTTCCACCGTCTCTCACGGTATCTTCAACTACCCATCTTATCTCTGTCCAGCCCAAACGGTGTCATCTCACTCGGAGACTGAGAAAGGTTGAGGTTTTGGTCTGCCGAAGGTGACAAAGCTGAAGATTCAATTGCACAAATCCCGGACAAGCAACCAGTACAATGTCGTAAAGGAGATAATAGAGGTTACAGGTGAGTTCATACACTGATGGATGTATGTACAAGTTCTCTAACTATCTCTAACTAATCTACATAGAACACAACATCCAAACCGAAGAAGAGCTTGCGGCGTCGCCGGATGTGGGTAGCGGTATGAAATTCTAACCTAGTAGTTGTCTTGAGCAGACGCCCACAATAGCCATTCATGCACCAAGGTCCTTCATGGTACAGGGCATGCCTTATCGTGGTATCTGAAAGGGCATTTGCCCTCGGGATCTGGCGGAGCTTGGCTGACGATTTGCGTAGCCGATTCCGTGAACAGAAGGCAGACAGGAATGGTGTATGTCCCCCGGTCTTCATTGCCGTAAGCCCAAGCTATCATGTTCGGTCAGCATGTCATGTCCAGATCAACATCGCGAAAGAGACAGGATCAAGACTTACATTTGCAGTCGGCGTTAGCTTCGCACGAGCTCCGGGCATACTCAGCGCCGTTGCAGCCAACCTGTCCTCCCAAATTGCCTGCATTGCCACTGTCGAGCATGGCGCCGCACAAGTTACACGTCGGCGGTCCAGCGGTCGCCGTCTCCGTGACCGAGGTTGTCGTCGCCGTAGGCACGTCGCTTCCCGACGGCGGAGCGTTGCCGGCCGGGGCTGAGGCTGTCGGGGCGGCTGAAGCGACCGAGGTGGGCGCATACGAACACGCCTGGCCCAGGTCACGCCTCATAGCGCGCTTTGCTCTCCTTCCGGTTCCGCTGTTCGGGATGGAACACGATTCGGCCAGGTCGTGCCCGTTCCAGGCGATGGGAGGGTATCCTGTCTCGGCAACGCGGGGGTACGAAAGGGCACCCGTCATGTTGCGGAGCGTCTCGGCCACCTTGCCTGGCGTCAAGTCGCCAGCAAACTCTGGGTGTGACATCCAGTATGCCACCATACCAGCAACCTGGGGTGCGGCGAACGAAGTACCTGAATCTGTCGCGAGACCAGTCAGGTCGAGAGGATCCGCGCACTTGATGTCGGCACCGATGGCATACGTCGTCACGAGATTACCTCGCTGGCTTCTCGGGGCTATTTTGAAATCCCTCCCTGCGTTGCCTACCACGATGACGGGGAAATCCTTCGCCATCGTTGCCGGCAACTTGTCGGGCTCGGTCAGGCCGTCCAAGAACTTGTTTCCGGCTGCCGCGACAATAGGAACGTCCAAGGCGACGAAGGACCTCATGACGCTGCGGAATGAGGTCGTATAAATGGCGTCGGGCGCCCTCATGAGAATGGACGTTGTGACGACGGCCTTACCTTTCAGGCCCTTTTGCTTGATCTCATTGGCGGCGGACTGGAGACCGCGAAGTAGACCGAACTCGGTGAAGTCAATACGCACTCCGACCAGATTCGCGCGCTTTGCAGCTCCGGTCGTTCCGCCGACAGTCTTGGAAGCGACACACGTCCCGTGCTGAGTATCTTCCAGCGTGAACTTCTTGTTCCTGGCAACGTTCAACTCCCGGCGGGTGATGTCGGGGCTGGGCGCCCTGAACTCTTCATGCTGCAAGTCGAACGGGCCGGTATCAACCACATAGATGGTAATACCCTGGCCGGCGAAGTCGTCATATCGATAGTTGGGGAGTGCTTCCTTCTCCCTCGGCGGCGTCGAAAGCACACGGAGGTCAAAGATGTCGTTCTTGGCGATCGGTGTCTGCGTGACTTCGGCTCGCTTCTGCTGAGTGGCCGACGGTTGGGCTCCAGCCGGCGGATCATCATCGCGTGTCAGAGGGTCATTGATGTCCGTCCCGGCGATTACGCGGTCGTTCTTGACCTTCTCAAGTTGATCGGGGGTGAGGTTTGCACGCCAGGCATAGGGAACGCCGGCATCATTCACAATGTTGTCTATGTTATTTGCACCAACCAGGCCTGCCAGGGTGTTGCCGAAGCCATCGGCGTCCGCTTTGACGGTGTTTTCCTTGGCAAAGATCATGTAGTCTACACCTGTGCCTGTTGGGACTGCGGACGACGATGTGCTCGAAAAGGGGATATCTGAACTGGTCGCGCTAACCGGCGGTGCGGACGAGGCCGGCACAGATGCTGGCCCCGAGTTTGTCGCAATGTCGCCGTCGTTAGACTTTGGTTTGTCTGGATCATCCGGATTGCTCGGGTCACCCGGGTTCGCAGCTGATGATCCGGCGACCACAGATGCACCTCCTGCGATAGGCGTCGTAACACCGTTGACAGTGAAAAAGCCGCCTATGCCAGCACCGACAACGACGACGCCGGCTGCAACGGCGACAGTCTCGCCATTGCTGACGGTCACGGTTGCCGGGGCTGAAGATGTTGCGGCTACTGATGAGGACACTGGTGTTGGGGTGATAGAGATGAACGTCGATACAGGGACACTGGTTGTGTTACGGAAACCAGAAATTGAAGGGAACGGAGACCTCACAGGTCCCGACTGTTGGGAGTTGCACACTGAAACAAGGGTGAAGAAAAGAGTGACTGCCTGAATTGAATACATAATGAGAGAAACGGCTAGGAAACCTGGCCCGCAAAAGAATGGATGTTCAAGGTCAGCGTGTAGACAGACTTGTCCCTGAGCCCTCTGTGTTTCTGGCGTGGGCTAGATCGGACGGTTTAAGTATGCCGCCTACTTTTTTTTCGAGCCTCTAGCCATAGTTCCCATAGCAGACCGCAATATGTTTGACATTTATTTGCACATATGAGAAGGCATGTTTTGTTGGATGTGAATTAACACCGAGTCATGGATCTGCGCGACCTCGTGACTGATGTCTATTTTTGACGTGCGCATAAAGATTTTAGATAGGCTCGGCAATGAAGGGGCCGTCCGTCAAACTTTAAACCCAAGGCATTTCCGCAATCTACACTAAATGGCAGACACACCTTATTCTTCTTGCGCGTGGCTTAGAGCCAGCCCCCAAGAACTATTGACATTGTGGGCCATAATCGATCGCGTTCAGAGTCTGTGGCTTGCTTCAGAACATCGTCTCTAATGTCAGGCCTGCACTTCTCAGAACACCCGTGAGCAAAATAAGGCGGCGTGCATCGCCGGCTAAGACGGCCTTTTTAATTAATACCACAGTTTCAAACATCTGTGACAAAGGCACACCGATAGTCGTATAGCAACTATTACGTATTGTTGTCTTACGAATTAACTTCAGCCTTTTGTATCGCGCTTGCGACTACGCCCAGGCCCACAAATACACGACCGGCGAGCATTTAATGCCGAGCCTGAATTCTGAATTGGTGATTGTTTGGGCGATAAGGAAATCTTGCTCTGCTATGATACGTGAAAACAACATCCAGATGTTGGGATTTGATGTCCGATGTGGGAACATTGAAATTTGTTTATGGGATGGTCTTAGTTGAAGACACACGTCAAAGTTTTTTCTGTTCAACAAGAACAGACCTCTGATAGTAGAGGTTGTTACTACTGGTTGATTGGCTATATTTGTCTATAAACTGCAAATGTTAAAGGCGATAATCAAATCCTAAAAGATCAGAATTTCGAAGGAAAAGAAATGCTCCAACGACGCCGATCAAACCGTCCGCAATTAATCTGGTACTGGCCTCAGTAACTCGCTTTCCTGAATAGTAGCCTCTACGCCCGTCATCAGCGCCCTCAAACTCAGGCTCGGCTCCAAAAACCTTCACTCTTGTTCCCTCGCAGCTCAATGCCACGCCAGAAAGAAGACCGCCGCCACTGCATGGTGCGATAACGGCATCGAGGCTCTCGATCTGATCCTGCATCTCTAAGCCAACAGTTGCTTGGCCGAGAATCACGTCTGGATGGTCAAACGGCGGAACGAGACGAGCGCCTGTTTCCGAGACAATCCTGGCCGCGACAGCTTCACGGTCTTTGGGGTCGCAGACAACAACGTTAGCGCCATATCCCTTTGTGGCGTCAATTTTGTAAGGGCGAGTGGTGCTTGGCATCACAATGTGCGCTGTGATGCCATTCTCTCTGGCTGCCAGTGCCAATGCTTGTGCATGGTTTCCTGTATGCGATTGTCAGCTTTGATTCCGGGGGCTTAAGTGACTGTTCTCAATTTCACCTGCACTGAATCCAACGACTCCTTTGGTCTTTCCACCATTATCAAGCCACCCGGGTTCCTGTTTGAGTCTCTCAATGGCATGAAATGCTCCTCTAGCTTTGAAAGCACCTATGCGCTGCATGTTTTCGCACTTGAACCAGAGCCTGATGATAGGTTTGGCAGGCTTTCTGTCACCGAGGGTAGAAGATGCCCTCGGCGTGGACGCCATTTGGCTGAGAGTCTTGTTTGTGAGGACCGGAGTTTTGTGAACATGAGTCTGGATGAGCTTTCGTGCCTCAAAGACCGATTCTCTGGTCAAGGGCGGGCATGTTGCGAGACTCGCCATGGTTTCTACCGATTTTTATATCAATCTGAAAATGATTAACCTTGAGTCGAGCGTTCTCAAGAATCCGTGAGCGACTTCATATGTAGCGCTTCACTTGTATTAGTTGAAGTCTGAAGACCTTTGCGACTAACGGCCTTTGTACAGTTTTGGCCGAGGTAATATTAATATGGAGTATTATACAAGATGCTCACGTTGAGATGAACGAGTCAATTCAATCTTGCACCATGCGGTCTTCGGCTGCAATGCCCGAGGTGAACCTTATTGCCGCCTCGGCATAAATGAAGATGACGCCGGTAAATCGGCGGAGAAAGAAGCAAAACACCGAGGGAAACATTCCGATACCGCTCAATGATATTCCCAACTCATAGATGATACTCTCACTGAATAGCAAGTTACAAGCCTATTCCGAGAAAGACAAATATATCGGAACTCGCATCCGAAGGCGGCCAGTTCAGTCGTTTGAAATATTCCCAACTATCGTTATTTAGGGCAAAACAAGTCAAGATTTCGCTCGCAATTCTTCATCATTCACGACATTGTCGTATCAGCAGATAACATGGCCGGCAATGGCGACGCAGTCATTCTCCCAACAGGCACCGTCACTGGCCTTGCCAACTATCCCCGCGGACGCTTGGCGCCTACCACAAGTCATCGAACACTGTACATTTCAGGAACCTCTTCCAGGCGCCCAGATGGGACTTTCGACGGCGTCGAAACAAGAAGCGACGGCACTCAAGTGTTGGACGTACGAAAACAGACAGCCGCAATCCTCCGCAACATAGAAGAGGTAATCAAGCATGCCACTGCAAACAAAGGCGGCCTCGGAAACGTCATTGACGCGACGATATTCCTGGTGGATATGGAGAGGGATTACTCCAGGATGAACGCCGTATGGAATGAGTTTTATCCAAACGTTGAGGAGGCTCCGGCTCGGACGACCATTGGGGTGAGAGAGTTGCCAAGTCCAAAGCTGGTTGTGGAGGTTAAGTGCACTGCTATTGTAGAAACAATGGAGTAGGAAGGCAAGTGTGTTATCGCTTCAACTCCAGATCATCGTATCATGGGCCAACAACTGAATCCATGCCGTTGTCCATGTTGTTAGATCAATGTGGGGGATGTTAAGCTGTTGCCTGGGATCCTGTAGGAATTTACCAATGTACGCATCACTTCGTTGAATTCCCCAACGTCAAGCATCGCATTGACTAGCCTCGGTTGCTCCTGAATTCGCCGTTTCTCTGCGTTGAGCTTAAAGGCAGACCGCATTTTTAGGTTGTCAATCTTGAAGCTGCAATAGTCCGAGGGGGCCGCGTTGAGGCGGAGTAGTTGTAACCCACCACATGGGTCCCAGGGTTACGATCCTTCGGAGTCGCAAATGGGACTTTGGTGAAGCTGCCTTGGTTGTTTTTTCTGTGGGTCCATGGGATCGGAAGACAACGAACATTTAAATAGGGTGCATTCTAAGCGCCGGGTTGTGTGATGCTGCCTCATCAAATATGACTTTTGAGAGAATCTCAAGTAGAGTCTGTGTCGCAGCTTGAATCTGAGATCTGCCGTGATAGATATCAGTACCCAAGCAGACTTGCAGCGGTTGAACGCCATTCTCCTGATTTTCAAGGGATTCTGAGGAAGCAAAATCATACCATGTTGTCAATGTGGTCGTGCCTAACTAAGAATTGCGTGCGGTGAGTCGTAAAAGCGAAAAGCAGGGGTGCTTTCAGCGAAGGATCCGGACATGGCCTCCGCCCAGCACGAACCCCAGAAAAAGATGACAGCTCGATGCCCTGGCCCTGGCAAGTTTCCCAATTCAGAGGATTTTACCCGCTCTCCTGTCAGGCAGCTAAATTACAAGCCCAGGGAGACTGCATCGCCAACCTTGCTCCAGGCCGTAGCAAAACAACCACAATGGCACCGGTACATGCCGTCAGACTGCTGTACCAGGTGTCTCGTAAGATGGGGCGTTGAGAGGACGCAATACATAAAGAAGCACATCCAGACTCGAGGCTAGTGATCCCGACTGCTTCGTCACTCTCGAGTCCTCAACCTCCCAGTCAATCATAATGTTTAACCTCACCAAGACACTTGTTGCCACTCTGGCTCTCGTCGGCCTCGGAGCCAGCAGCCCGGTCTCCCTGGACAAGCGCCTGCCCGGCCGCGTCGTCAAAGCCGGCGAGCCCGTCGTCATCGATACGAACAGTCACTATCTCCGCGTCAGCTTCATGAACGACGGCAGCTTGATCGGAGGCTATGGCGCAACCGAAGGCGACACGAAGATAATGCGAGTTGTCAAGTCTACCGACGGCGCGCAGTCGTGGCAGCACATTGGCGAAGTCTTCCGCGGCCCAGTCGCCAAGCACGATATGGACAACGCGTTCCCTCTCCAGCTACCCAGCGGCCGAATCCTGTACGCCTACCGCAACCATGACCGCACCGGAGCCGACCTGCACTACACCTACTTCCGCATTTCCGTCTCCTACTCCGATGATGGCGGCAAGAACTTCAAGTACCTTTCCACCGTCGAGGAGCATGTTCCCAGTGGCGTCAACGGACTGTGGGAACCCTTCCTCCGTATCGCCAAGGACGGCACTCTGCAGTGTTACTACTCTGCCGAGAACTCGGCTGATGACCAGGACAACTTCATGAAGTACTCCAAGGATGGAGGTCAGACTTGGTCCAGCTGGGTCAAGGTTTCTGGTGGAGACCTTCTTTCTCGTGATGGCATGGTTGGCGTTGCGCCCATCGACAATAACGGAAACCTGATGTAAGTTCTCTTCTGGATATGCATGCTTTGGCACATAAACTAACAGAAAGCACACGCAGTGCCGTATTTGAGCACACAAGAGAGGGCAGATTCAACGTCGACTATGTCCTTTCTCACGACGACGGCTACAGCTGGGGAGAGCGTGGAAGCTTGTACACTGCCCGTGACGGCAAGCTCTCTGGTGCCCCCCAGGTCTACAATGTGTGGGGCACGTTGGTGGCTAGTTTCATGACTAACGAGGACGTCGACGTCGGAAAGGGGTACAACAATGGTCAAATGAAGGTCATTACAAGTACCGATCAAGGCAAGACATGGAGCACCAGCGTTGTCACGGGCGAGGCTGAAGCTCACTGGCCTGGAGTCTTCAACCTCGACCCTACGCACTTCTTGGCTCTGTACTCGAGAGAGGGTCTCGGTCTTGTGAGTCAGAAGTATGAGCTAGTGAACTAGATCGTATGGCTTTGAGAACCAATGATGAATTCGATGTACATATTCAAAGGTCGCGCACACATGATATCAAAGAGCAAAAATACGGAAAAAGGGGGAACATTGGCTACGGGGTATTGAACTTGCACCAGGACTGTGTTTGTGTGTTTTTTTAACAGAAGTGAGTCCCCACGAGTTGGTAAGGGGTGACTGTTTATTGACACAAACAAGCTCTCAACGCATTATGATTAAATTGATCTACCTTTGCAACGCATGATAAACCACTAAAACAACCTGAATCAAGTGATTATCGGAGTCAATATGCTTACAGTGGCTTAATCTACACTGTTCACTGCGTTGAATGTTAGAAACGCTTTGGACGGGCGTCCTACAATAAATTTGGGAAATCTAAAGAAGATAATCAAAATAATTTTTGAAACGACGAAGCAATGCCAGAGAGACGATTTCTGATCGTAGTACTAGACATCGCACTTAATGCTCATAGTTGCTGTATCTAAAAAGCGTCGCGAGGGTGTAAGTGAGGACCCACCGCTTGAGCTCATTCGGCTGCCAAGCGGCACCAGCTGGCAGAGACAAAGCTGACCCGAGGGGCACCGATAAGATAAGATAAACTCTCCAATGAAGATAAGCAATTTTTTTGACGGCAACTCCAGTTGAAGTCCCAGATCCAGTCGCATCCCAGCCACATGCAACACACCCGACGGACGACTCTTCGACCAACGGCACAATGCTTCGTCAAATGTGAGTCGCAACCACCCGAATCGAACACTCGCCATCGAAAATTTTAACAATCTTCTACAGAAAGCCCCGTAACGCTCGCTCAAAGCGCGCGCTCGAGAAGCGCGAGGCCAAGACCCAGTATGTCCTCCTTCGCTCGATCTCGACTTTGACCTCCTCCCGCAAGCTAACCACCGCCGCCATACAGAGAGAACCCCAAGACAGCCCTCTTCCTCCGCGGAACGTCGTGCTCGCAGGTCACCCAAGATGCCCTCAACGAGCTCTACCAGCTCCGCCAGCCCCTCGCGAAGCGCTTCGTGAAGAAGAACGACATCCACCCCTTCGACAACGCCGACTCGATCGAGTTCTTCTCCGAGAAGAACGACACCTCCATCGTCGTCTTCGGCCACACCTCCAAGAAGAGGCCCCACGCCATCACCTTCATCCGCACCTTCGGCCACAAGGTCCTCGACATGCTCGAGCTCTACCTCGACCCGGAGTCCTTCCGCACGCTCGCCCAGTTCAAGGGCAAGAAGGTGCCCATCGGCCTCAAGCCCATGCTCAACTTCTCCGGCACCGCCTGGGACAGCCCCATCGCCAACGAGTACACCCACGCGCGCTCCTTCTTCATCGACTTCTTCCGCGGCGAGCAGACGGACAAGATCGACGTCGAGGGCCTGCAGTGGATCGTCTCCATCACCGCCGACGAGCCCGCCGACGGCAACGACAAGCCCGCCATCCGCCTGCGCTGCTACACCATCAGCACGAAGCGCAGCGGCCAGAAGGCGCCCCGCGTCGAGGTCAACGAGATCGGCCCCCGCATGGACTTCCGCGTCGGACGCCAGCGCGAGCCCGACGAGGCGATGCTTAAGGAGGCCATGAAGAAGCCGCGCGGCACCGAGGAGCGCACCAAGAAGAACATCACCACCGACAGCATGGGTGACAAGATGGGACGTATCCACGTCGGCCGCCAGGACCTCAGCGAGCTGCAGACTCGCAAGATGAAGGGTCTCAAGCGCAGCAGGGACGTTGCGGACGACAACGAGAGAGACGACGACGTCGAGGTGGAGGAGCCCAA